CTATATATTATAACGCTCCCACGGCTGAAAGGGCGAGCATGTTTGGTGGGATGGGGATTCGAACCCGCGACCCTCAGATTGCGAGTCAAGCGTTCTAACCACTGGCCATGTCGGGCTATGTGCCATTGCCAGGGCATGCTTACATTAAAGTACTTTCCTTTTGTGTATTTATGTATGCAGAGCCTGCTTGAGGCTGTGGTCAAAGAAATGTAAATGTTGTGACATTGCATTTATGTAATTATATCAAAATAACAGTATTATATAAATAATTAACCAGTTTACCAGTTCTTTGCAAAGAGAACATTTAACCTTGCAAAATAAATAGTAAACTTTATTATGTACTAACGCGTGATGTTCTCAGCTCGTTGATTATTTTCCCTTCTTCCTATCTTGTACAACCCAACTACTCCAATAAATTATTTTATGCTTCAGTATTATAAGTTGACAATTTGAGTCTCAAAGTGGGTTCCTCGTCATCGAATTTGAATTCATGAGGTTGAAAATTTATCACTTCTTGCTCAGGCATTGGCCGAGCGTATGACTGAGTCAGGCCTTTCCTTGGATACGCCACTGCCCCAAGTATTCGAATCCATTATTCTGATCTTTTACGTGTGGTATTTTCAAGTAGAAACTGATCTCCCAACAAGTATAAGACAGTCAGACATGCTAATAGTTTGACTGAGTTTTCATAGTATGTATGAAATAATGAGATTGAATAAGTTTATCATAATAAACGTAATTATTATTATAGAACGGACAAATGGGAAATACAGCGTACTTATTTGTTCACACAAAAAGATAGTCACTTCTATTGGATTATGATTATCTCCGCAATTTGATTTATCTCGGGATAGACTTCTGTCAAACTAACCATGATGATCTTAAAGTAATGCTAATCTTCTTTGTTAGTGAAGTCATTTTTGGTCATTCCAAGTCATATATATATATATGATGCTTCATAAAGGTATCACCAGACCTGCTGATGGAAAAGATCGCTGCCTGCCTTTATATAGTGTGTTCTACTTTATGTTAATCTTTCCTACGAAAAAGTTCACATAATATTATAGGAAAATGAACCAAAAATTAGATAACTAGAATGAAAAGAACTCAGCCACTTTCAAGTGTATGTATGAACGTTTTGAAAATGAAATTCTAGGTGAAAATTAAGAGCTTACTTTACTGAATAACGAACAGGGGCGTCGAGAGCAAGCTCAGGCACCAGGGTCAGTAATATCATCAGGTCCCCTTTTTGTTTTATTTATTAACTTTTGCTGATTTTCATAAAAGAAATTTAGGTGACAAATTTCTTCATGAATCCATGTAAAAGCAGGAGCAATTTTAGCTCATTAAGTAGTATGCATTTATAGTGAGCTTTGGAATATCCCACTGCCGGGCCCCTCAACAGACCCCGGGCAGCTGTCCTTCTTGCCCCCCTCTCGTCAGCACTGATAACGAGAATGTAAAATACTTAGTATGCTTGCATGCTATATGTATATAATGATATGCTCAGAGTTCATCCAGAATTCGTCATGGTAAGATATATTTAACTTGTGTTGCAAATGAATAAATTATGTTTTACATGGTGTTTAGTTCCTTTCCTTCAACTCAGTCAAGTCAGAAATCCAAGTTTATCTCTACTTAACATTTTCTGCCATATCTCCAGTATTGTACTACTACTTTTACTTGTAAGGTAATCAGTATATACCATAAGTTTTATATTTCAGTAAAAAGAAAATCTAGGAAGTGTCAATTTCCGGATGAAGGACTTATGTATAAGAGGAGTAATTCGACATTGAGGGTAGATCATAATCCAAAAAAGTATTGAGGTCAAGTAGATGTCTTCTCCTGGATGCAAGTCTCTTAAGGGCATATCTACAATCTCAATACAGCCACAGAACCAAAAGGAGAACACCATCCGGGAACATTCAGAGCTGCTTACTATGTTTTACATCCGAACATAACCCTCAATTCACTAAAAGCATGAACTACTGAAGGTCATAGTAGTGACTTGCTATTTAGATTCCTTCGGGCCTTGTGAAGATGTCTCTATAAAGCACCCAGAATGTTACAGATCAGTGGGATTGAACACTACCTGTGATCAATATCACCTGCAGCCAAGAGAAGGCTAGATGTGACTGGTGGTTGAAGTCTGCTATTTGAACGTGTCTCATTACCAGGAGAATAATGATGAAGATTGTTACACGTGGGGCAAATGAAAGATTTTTAAGATGAAAGATATGCTACTATAACCACAATTAATAATGGAAAATTCTGAGGTCATGTAGGCTTGAAAGACGACTCAGTTATACAAACTCGTCATTCTGCTGTCTAGGAATAGGAACCAAACATTCATCCAAACATATTTCTATCTTAACATTAACGAAACCTTGCACTTAGAATGGCATGTTAATAGATGGATTAACCAATGAAAGGAAGTTGCATTCCTTATTTTCTTAGTTATCAAGTCGTGTTTGATGATAGGATGTATATTATACTGTGTAATACTCACTAGCAGTATTACCTACGTGGAGGAGAGTGGAAACCAGGTAACATGGCAACACATCTGGTGTTAAATGTGTATAAAACACAATAGTTCAGAGGGTTGGACCATGCAGAGTCTTGTCCTGGGTTCAAAGTTTTCTGTGGACATCATTGCTCACTAGATGCATAGCTAGAACAGTTGATGTTATTGATCTAATGCGTAGAACATTTTCATTTGGCAAGACAGAAAGTGATCACTAGAATTTCTAATGCATCTAAAAGCTGAAAGGATTTTACAATCCTTTTCTTATGAGCACACCAGTGGAATTTTGAGTTGAATATTACAGTATGTTTATGTTTATGTAATTGCAAAATTTAAGTAGTATTTACACACAAGCATATGAAACCTCTACATAACTTCTAGATGTACAGTGAAGGAATTGTGATGACAAATAATATGAATAAGGTTATGATAAAGCTTAATGATTTTGCCTGTTGACTCTAGTGACTGGGTCGACATAAGAGTTGCAGTACAACATTGTGATAGTCTGGACAGGTAAAGAAATGACATTGTGGAAACTAAGTAATTAAAATTTTGAAAAGTTTTACAGCATTATAGAAAGTAGAAGTACATGATATGCCTGCATATCACATGTGTATGACCTAAGGCAGAAAGAAATATATGAATGCCATTGTTCTGTAGTTACTTTGAGTTGAACTTTGCTTATATGAAAATGACATTGCTTGTATGGTATGATCCAAATCCAGTTACTTGTGTAAGAACCTGTGCTTACAGTTTCACGTTTGTTCTATGCTGTATTATTAACAACCAGGCAATTGTGGGAGGCTTACGTGCTTGTGAGAGGTGGCTGTGAGATTGTGTCAGTTGTAGTAATTTGCTAATGAGGCAGTTGAAAGCACATCTGCATGCTGGTACAGTTTTCATAAAATCCAAGGTAAATTTGGATTTTACTTTGTTTGAGTTCAACTTTGGATTTTTCATGTTTATGGTTTTAGCTTAACTCATAGAAGTTTATAACCAATGACTTGTTTGTTTGTTTATTGCTAAGCACAAAGCTACGCAATAGGTTATCTGTGCTGTGTCCACCACTGGTATCGAAAACCCAGATTTTAGCGTTATAAGTCTTATGACATACCACTGAAGGCCTAGCATGACCTGATGATTAGGGCACTCGATTTGCATTCTGAGGGTGGCAGGTTTGAATCCCGTTTCCGAACATGCTCATATTTTCAGCTGTGGGAGTGTTATAACGTGAGGGTCAATCCCAATATTCATGGATTCTGACATGGCGCCCAACTCGTAATTTGCGGGTTTCGGGTTCAAATTTCCTTTACCACACATGCTTGCCCTTTCAGCCGTGAAACATTATAATATGACGGTCAGTTCCACTATTTGTTAGTAAAAGAGTAACTTAAGAGTTGGAGGTCAATGGCGTTAACTCGTTGCCTTCTCGCTACCACATCACTGCTTAATGAGGGACGGCTAGCACAGATAACTTTCGAGTAGCTTTGTGCAAAATTCTAAACAAAACAAATCCACTATTCGTTGATAAAGAGTAGCCCAAGAGTTGGTGGTGAGTGGTGTTGATTAACTGCCTTCCCTCTAGTCTATTACTTTAAAATTAGAGAAATTAGAGACGGCTAGAGCAGATAGCCCTCGAGTAGCTTTGCGCGAAATCCAAACTAACCTACTTGCCACCCAAAACACCTAAAGTCCGATAAAGATCACACACACACACCATTGGTGGGAGAAGGAGGTTAGTTTTAATGATAGGACTGTTTTTGTTAATATTATTTATATTTATTATTTTTATAATGTGCATCTTTTTTATCATTTGATTGTAACTATCTCTCTTAGTAATACAACTAAGTGCAGCGGACCTGAAGAATCTTTCTGTTTATTCGTTAACTAAATATTTTCTATTTGCTTTTATGCAAACTTTTCTTCTGTAATCCACAAAATGTATGGGATGGATTTTCGATTTATGCTCTTTTTTATGCATTCGTTACAAATAGTCTAAATTTGTTCAAAACATCTCTTGAGAGTGTGGCGCTCTAGATCATCGAAAATTAGGCTAATGGTAACGGTAATAAAGTATTAAATTAGTATTACTATTAGTTATAATTAATTTATAGGTAAGCTAATATTAAAGTAAACCGACTGTAGAATTTAAGAGTGTTATTTCTTAAGTTTAAGCAGTTAGAGTAAACGTTTCGCACATTTTCTTTGTTACAAATTAAAATCCTGCTTTTCAACAGTAACCCAGATTTGCATTGAATTGATTTTCCCGAATTCATTGTCGAAATTCAAGTTTCAACAACTTAACTTAAGATATTACACTTTACATTACATTGAGTTACTTATCTTGATTGTCGAATTCAATTTTTAATTTTAAATTAAATTCTTACAAGCTTATTTTCACTCTTGATTTACTGTACAGTTTGTAGTGTTAGTTTTATTACAAAATACAACTTGTTAGAACACGTAAATTTGTTTTTGGTTTATCCTTCGGCCTTTGATTTGCCTCCACTTCGTAATGGTAGGCCTATGAATATGATGTATGTCTAACAGTAACAATAGCGGTCCATAAATTTACCATAAAACACCAAAATGAATGCTAAAAAGTTTTTTGTAATTTTATCTGAAAGTTACAGCATGGTCTTTAAATAAGTTTAGTCTTGTTTATGACTTTTACTGCTTTATTGAAAGAAAAGTGAATACTCATGGTCAGAGCCAGATTATGGGTGGAGTAAGTGGGAGCAAGTGTCTTGATAACTTATTCATTTATAAACATTTGTTCAGCCATTTAAGTTTTAACAAAAAGTTAAGTAATTCTGGAGAGCGAGAAGCTGGTTGACACTTTCCTCAACGTATATATATTGCCATTTGAATCAACCTAAGCTTTATGATGGCTATAACTAGGCTTACCATAATTTTCAGAGTTGAAACCAGGACCAATGGGCAAAAGCCACAAAATATGGCAAAATGCCAACAGTCCCACGCACATATGCTGTGACCACTGATCTATATAAATGGATTGGACATCACTATTGGCTGACAGCAGAGCCGGCATGCACGTGCAGGTGCCATTACCATTTGTGTTGATTCAAACATAAACAAATGCACGTAGCATAATGCAAAACTTAGAACTTGCCAGTCTTTACAAGTAGAATTTTAGCCTAGTTACATTAAATATACTAACTGATAACCACCAAAGTTCTGAGATAGGACAAATTAATTTTTAGTAAACTGTGATTAGAACCGGGACAACGTTGCTAAACCGGGACGTATGGTATAACTGCAGTGGCAAGATATTCAGTAAAATGTTGGTAATCAAAAACAAGCTAAGGTCAACAATTCTAAGAATGTACGGAGTGAAAGGAAAACAAAATCTTATAATATTTCAACCATGCTACACCTGTTATATCCAGTACTGACAAGGCCTTTCCCCAGTACCAAGGCTCATCTAGTCGGCCCTGATATGACAGATGATGTAATGGTAGTCCAGGCACTACTTATATCATCATTTTTCTAGACCAGCAACTGTTATGGTGTAAACTAGATTAAGTAAATTGTAATTATTACCAAGTTTGTTAAGTCATTTACAAATCATATTTCTAGGGTAAGGCTTTATAATACAATATTATTTTTTATAACAAATTAGGTGTCTATGATTATTGTTAATTATTTTTACTGTCAATTGGAAGAACTGGTAAATCATCTAGCTAGTCATCTTCAGTTCTTGTTTCCAGAATGAGTCATGCAATCACAGCATCAATGGGAGAAAACCACATCTGTGATTCAAAGAACTTATGAAGATGAATGTCTTAACAATGATTTAGAGTGACATGGTGAGAATTGTAAACAGAAAGAGATTTTTATGGGTGTGTTTGCACGCTCAAACTGTAGCCTACAACTTGTATTGAACTTTATTTGACTTATGGGGTTCAGTTTTAAGGAACCCTTTACAAATATTGCCTTGCCACCCCATGTTGTTAGTCTGGCTCTTACCTTGATTACTGTTATATTTACATAGACCAATGTGTATACTGTCTGTAACTGCTGTGTTACTTTTCCTGCACTACCAGCGTGTGTTGCCATTAATCTCCTGCCACTTTAACAGTTTCTTTGCCAAATGATTTTTAATGCTCTTCATATATTAAATGTAAATCATTCACAATATGAAGGGGTTAACCCCCCCCCCCCCCCAAGAGATACTTGGCAGTAAATAAAGATATGCTTATGAAAAGGTTTTTAGCTTGTGCTTTACATTTTGTTCAAACATGCATTGGAATACTTGATTGAGCCAAACAATTAATTTTGATATTGGTCTTAGGAAGTTTTAAGTTTTTTTGGTAATATAGTACTTTATATTAAATGATAGTTTATAAAATTCTGCAATCTCCTTTGAAGTATTTGAATTTTTTTATACATTTCAACACTCCTTTAATAAAATTTTTCAGTCAAAGTCGTATAAAAATCACAAATACAGTTCTTGAAAATTAAAATTGGCCTTATATTAAATACAAGCTATCTAAATATCTGCTATTTACTTCCCTAATTTACCATATAATTCTTATGAATTACTTCATAAACTAAAGATAAGGTTGTATTAATATAGTCCCTTCTAATTTCAGCATTTCTTATAGAGTCTTCTTACCCTAACCAGGTAAACTACAGAACTGTGTTATCAATTTGAGTTTTCCTTATGTTTTCATTCAGGGTTCATGACTATATGTTAGCTGAAGTCATCTGACATCTGGGCTAGGCCTGTGTAACTGTGGAGGAAAGAAAGGGTAAGGTTGTAAATAGTAATTTTATTGTGTTTTTTAATAAAAGTAGTTGAAACACAAGATCATTTATAAAGTTTTAAACCTAACACTTCAAACAGGATCAAGATATAGGCTTTTCCAATTACATTAAAATATGCTAATTAAGTCAGGGCTCTAATTTTAATTTGGCAAAAAAATAAAGTCATGTGGCCAACAATTTTAAATTATAATATGTTAGAAAATAACATCTAAGAGGATGTTAGAAAATAACATCTAAGAAGATGTTAGAAAATAACATCTAAGAGGATGTTAGACAATAACATCTAAGAAGATGTTAGACAATAACATCTAAGAGGATGTTAGAAAATAACATCTAAGAGGATGTTAGAAAAAACATCCTCTTAGATGTTATTTTCTAACATCCTCTTAGATGTTAAGAAAGTAACATCTAAGTGGATGTTAGAAAGTAACATCTAAGAGGATGTAAGGACACAATTTGCGCAATTTCAACATTAAGAGAAATTTGACACTTTTATTTTTATGAACTAACATCAACAGACAGAGTTCAGAAGACTTGACTGGAAATTAATCAGAGTATTGTATAATCAGCAGGCAGTACTTGACAAGCAACGCGGATCAAACTTAATCATAAGATAAAAATCAAGTAACGGTGACCTAGACTTGACTTTACTAAGTCTAGAACCACTGACCATGTCATGGCCACATAATTATGTTAAACTGAGGGCTCTATCAGTTGATACTTTAAATACACCAAAGTTGAGTGTATTAATGTATGTTATACTAAATATAAACTAGTGATAAATGCTAAAAATGATATAATAATTTCTAAAGTAATTAAAAAAAATCAACTGTACATCTTCATGTACTCCATTAATGCAACTTAATTAAGTGTTTCTCAGTGTTTACATATTGTGAACGAATTGTAATGATTTTGAAGTATGATTTTCAAAAACATATGCGTTATTATTTTTCAAACTAAGTTTCTGTATCCATTTTTTGAACAGCAGAGTTAAATGCTTGCCATTATCTGAAACTTGTTATTACCATTCTTTGTAACATAAGTCAAAGATTTCAGAAACATAACTTTTCCTCACTATCAGTTATTCATGTGTCAATCACATTCTAATTATCAACTGAATATTTCATATAATGTTTTTTCTGTCTATGATAAAAAGTTTATACATTTTACAGACAATGATCTTATACAGTCATGACAGAAAGTGAACAGAGTGGCGAATGGACACAGCTACATTTAAATTTGTATAATTTTGACACTTCAGAAGCCCAAGACTGTCCATATGTCTTAACTAGTCCACGGTCCTTAGAAGCTTGCTCCAGGATCGGTGTTAGGGTGAGTGTAAAGTTTTGAATCACGTTTGATTGATATAAGTTTAATCGTATCTTGCATTCAGTGAATTATTTAGTTCTTTATAGGTAAGTTTTTGGTGCAACTAAGTTACAATGTAGAAATTACAACTTTATATAATTTAACTAATAATTGGTGTCATTAATTTAGTCTTTTGATGAGCAGACTACATTCGTGATTGACTTCTGGTATGATCTTAATTTGAATAATAGCTATGTCACACTTGAAACATAGCCCATGATATCCTTGAATTTCTTCCTTCCTTCTCTTCTGCTCGATTCTTTATGTGTTATCTTTCGTTACTGTGGACTACGTTGTCCTTTGAAAGACTTCAGCAGATTTCACGTGTATGTGTGGAAATTCTTTGAAAACGAAGTTTTGATTTACTAACATGCCCGGTGTTCTTCATATGTTCTGTTATTTAAGTTTTTATACAAGTTTTTAACTATTGAATAAATAGAATCCTCCGAAATTAGTCTGGCTCACAGACACACCTCCTAATGAAAGAATAGACTATTCCAAGCTTTTACTTGTTGTTAAACAAATGTTTACACAACTTTATTTATTCAATTATGTACAAGCTGTCCAGTGTCGGCTAGTAATACGAAGAATTAAATTGTGGCGAAATCCTACAAGTTTTTCAAATACCTATAGAATGAT